GAGGGGGGAACCTCATCCGTGTTCACAGATATGTAAGGGGTGAGTGTCGGGAGGACAGAGCCAGGGTTTGTTCGGTGATGCCCAGTGACAGGGCAAGGGGCAGTGGGTGCAAACTGGAGCACCTTCCTGCTGCCCAGATCGGGGCGGACGGGCAGTTCAGCCCGGGAAGAGCCTCCCGGCATCTCCCCAGGGGGGAGCGTCTTCCCTCGGTGAGGCCGCATCTGGAGCGTTGTGTCCAGTTCTGGGCCCCTCAGTTCCAGAAGGACAGGGAACTGCTTGGAAGAGTCCAGTGCAGAGCTACAGAGATGGTGAAGGGAGTGGAACATCTCCCTGATGAGGAAAGGCTGAGGGAGCTGGGGCTCTTGAGCTTGGAGAAGAAGAGACTGAGGGGAGACTGAGGGGCCACCTCATCAGTGTTTACAAATATGTAAGGGGTGAGTGTCAGGAGGACAGAGCCAGGCTTTGTTCAGTGATGTCCAGTGATAGGACAAGGGGCAGTGGGTGCAAACTGGAGCATAGGAGGTTCCATGTAAATATCAGGAAGAACTTCTTTCCTGTGAGAGTGACAGAGCCCTGGGCCAGGCTGCCCAGAGAGGCTGTGGAGTCTCCTTCTCTGGAGACATTCAAACCCACCTGGACACGTTCCTGTGTGATGTGCTCTGGGTGACCCTGCTCTGGCAGGGGGGTTGGACTGGGGGATCTTTCCAGGTCCCTTCCAACCCCTGGGGTTCTGTGATTCTGTGTTCCAGTGTGTTCTAACACTGTTTCCTTCAGCAAGCTTGGTGCTGCTCACTTGCCATTCATCAGCCATCCAAGCTCCCTGTGACTTCTTTTCTCATCACCCTGCTGTCATAACCTTCCCAGTTGATACCTTCTGCTAGTTTCCTGCCCCGCCTGCCATGGCTTGTGGTTTTTGGTGCTACATTCCACGTGAAAAGCTCCGAGCACATCTTGCCTTCGCCAGAAGCACTTTGCAATCCTACTCAACCTTCCCAAGCACTCCTGGCCCTTCCTAGCTGGGTGGTATTCATAATTCTTAAGAGCATATCCAGACAACGGAAGGTTCGCTTTGGTGGGAAGGGACCACTGGAGGTCACATTCTCCACCCCCACCCCCCCCCAGCTCAAAATGGAGCCCATTTTGTCAAAGACAGGCCCGGCTGCACAGGTCACTGCTGTGGTGAGTGTCTTCGAGGAAAGACTTTCCCTCTGGTAAATGTTTATTAACATGCTGAGCAGAATTAGGCTCGTGCTCTGTGCGAAGCCTCCTGTGACACCATTTCCTAGATGCCAGCAAGGTGTCCTGGTAAGAATGCTTCAGTCCTCCAGGCTGGGAAGAGCTGAGTCTGCCCATGCCCAGTGGATGACACCAGCACCCACCTGGCTTTGGTGCCTGTGGGCAGCTGCTGGGCAGACCTGGGTGTTTACCAGCTGGGAATGCTGCTCAGAGCTGATGACCATCAGTGTTTTGCAGCTGGTACCAAAGTCCAAGGCCCTGCTTCCTTTTCCTCCGGTGCACTTTGGTCCTTCACAACCCCCAGGCAACGTCTGTGGCTTATGCAACCCATAAGCTGGTCTGAGCTGAGCTGGACACACAGCCATCAGACATGACTCCCAGAGCATGTGTGTCAGCACTGATCTCTTCCACTGTGCTAGACTCGCCCCATCTGAATTCACTCCCTGGTCACTGCCCTGCATAGGATGTGGTTTTCCAGTATATCCACTGCAAAAAAAACCCCAAACCCTCCCCACATACAGCATTCCAGCTCCTCATGCCTTTGCCAAGGAGCCCTTCCACAGATCCTCAGAGTTGGTGCTGAAACAAAAGTGATGACAGGCTCTTCTTTCCATCCATCATCCCTTTATGCTGAAGAACGGACTGGTCGAAGTCTTGTGTGCTTCTATGCACGTTTTATGTGGACTTATAACAGGAACATATGGCTCAATTGCCTTGGTTAAAGGTGACCAAAGAACTTAAGAGGAAATTGTAGAAGACGCTTAAATACTTAAGACAAATGACAGAAGCAAACTCAAATCTTTTAATGAGATTGTATTTATTTATTTATTTAGGGAATGTGTGTGTGTATATATATATATGTGGTTTTAGTGTATGTGTGTATATACGTAAAAATAAATCACAGATCTAACTGTACTGATCACTAAGGAGGTGATGTGCTAAAAGCTTGTCTGCAGGCCCATGAAGGAGCACAGGGAGACAACAGCAGGAAGGGGAGACTGAACAGCACCTGCCAGGCTGCTCCCAGACCCATCCCAGGAGCCACCAGCCCACCAAAGGCCCATCTCCACATGCCCCATGGTAGGCACAATGGAAGGCAGGAACGCAAATTAGGGACAAAGAGGAAGTGGCACCTTGTCTGGGCCCCTCCCAGGGCTGTCCCAGGGGAGCCCCAGCCCCAGAGCACCTTTAGGGGGGGGGTGTCACTGCATACAGGGGTGTGGGGCACAGGATGGCAGGCAGGGTAAGAGCGTTTGGGCACAGAACTCATTAGGGGATGCTTATGGGAGGAACCAAAGGTGGGAAATGGAGAGGCCCCTGGAGACAAGACCACCACAGGGAGGCTGGGTTGCTGGGGAACCAGAGGGAGTAGAGGGACTGGGATTGAGGGGCAGCTACTGGGTAGACTGAGCCCAGCTGCTTGAGGGACCCCTGCTGTACATACATGTGTGTATGAATACATATATATATATACATACACACACACATATACCTATGCATGCTCATTAGTTCACCTCCATCCTACTCAGCTAGAGGAGTGGGTGAGATGAGGCTACGCTCACGTGAGAGCCCTGTGTGGGCCCCTGTGCATATACATAGTGTATAGGTATGTTTGTGTGTGTATGAGCCTACTGGGAATACAAGCTCAAGCTGGCTGCTGGTCGTGACTGAGGACCAGGAGCTGCAGTAGCCTCCCTCAGGCTGTCAGAGTTGGCACAACCCATTTTTCCCAACAGCAACCTGTTTAAAACCTACCACTACGATTTGCAGTGAGAGTCTGGCAGTATCTCCACTCCACAGAGCTGTGGTCCTGCCAGAAAGCAGATAAAAAGATTTAAAAAAAAAAAAAAAGAAAAAAAAAAAAGATCTGGCATTCC